AAAAAAAAAAAAGTGGTGTGTTGTAACAAGAAAAAAAAATCAGAAATTCTTAAAAAAAACATTTCATCAGCAAGACAACTTACTCATCTTCAGCCAGAGCAGAAAGGTTCTGTAACAGTAAGCCAAAAGAAATACAATTTTCATTGTTCAACCCCCTTATTTACCCCTCTTTGGTACTATCTTTGAGCAGAATATTTCTTTCAAATGGAAGAGGAGTATTTGGCTTTTCAGTGTTCTCCTCCTTAGTGAAATCACACCCCAAGGATGGGACAACCAGCAGATTCCTGGCTCCTGGAGCTTCCAGCCTGGGGAGAGGCTTTCCCTGGGCTCGGCAGAGACCGTGCACAGCTCATTGCTTGCAGGAGCAGAGACATGTTTAGTACAAATACGTTTGGGAAAACCAGCAAACTTGTGGCTCCTGCCTCACCGCCCAGTGTCCGTGGGATGGTGAACGACCCTCAAACAAAAGTGGCTTCAAGCAAAAAGCTGGAGGCAGCAGAGAAAGCGCTGTTCTGTTCCCTGCACTGACAACCTGACACACAGCTCATTGAAGGGCTCCTGCTTGCACCAAAAATCAACTGGGATCCATTCTTGCACCACTAAAAACTAATACTAAATATTCTGGAGTACCAGGTCCTACGTGGTTCAAATTGTGCACATATAAAGATCAGATACATTTACTCATATTGTCCCCCATCTCTCCAGCAATTCTCATTCTGAATTTTGAAAAGAAAAAAAATATTTATGAAGCCCTCAGAAGTTATCAGGACTCAGAAGTTATCGTAACCTGCACAGAAAAGCTAATAAGGGAATTAACAACACTATATTCAGAGCAGGATTTGAAAACTTAGGGTCTACATCAAAAAATGAGAAGAAAATAAAAAGGAGAGATCTTTAGTGAGCTTTAACCTCCTTGTGCATGGAATGCGACATAACCTAGAGAAGGATGGGAGGTGACAGCAAATATTTATAAAGATATGACATGACATGATTTTACATACAAGAAAAACAAATTAAGATCTTATCAGGCACATTTATTCTGACATTTCATCACACTTGATTGTGCAATTCTAATGAGTCTGCACCACCCTTCGTACATGAATGATTTCTTGTGTTTACAAAAAATGAATGTAACTCATGTGCCACCAGACTGCCATCACCACAGGTGCAGTGGTACCAGAACTGTTCGTCACTCCCCACAGAACCCTGCATTTGCCAGATAAAGACAGTTCAAATTACAAGCCCCTGGATTTTTTAATTTAAGAGCTGACACACACACACAAAACAAAGAGATATATTGCTATTGCTGCTACTGCAGAAAGACTTGCAGATTTCTTTAGCTGCTTTCTGTAGCAGTCGTGCCACCATATAACTTTACTCCTTGTTCTTTCATGATTAACTTCTTTCTACATTGATCTCTCTGAGGTACACTGAGAACATTCCAGTATCTAATTTCCTTGTTCTAGTAAGTATGTTCATTAGATGGACCAAAAGAGAGCTTTTCTTGAAGCTTTTTTTATACATATTTTCTACCACATTATTTTGAATGAATACACCAGCAATGACAGTGTGTAATACAGTAGTTTTCATTTACTGCATTCCTGAAAGTCCAGGGTTTTTTAATCATGCCTAACATTTTAATATTCTGTTTTAATGAGAAATTACTACATTCTGCTTTAAACAATTACTCTTAGTTCTTATGGAACGTTTAGACACATGCTGGACACTCTCATAGCAGAAAGAGTAACACAAGTGCAGGGCTTCAGACACCTAATATGCCAACATGAAGAAGCCTTGGCTTTTCTGCAGTGTCCTTATTCCCTCATTGCTGCTTTTACTCCAGTGGCAATCTAAAAGTAATATATTCTTAATAACCTTTCTGCTTCAAATAAGATTTCTTGGTTTCAGGTGTCTGTAAAAAAAGAAATACCATGAGTTCCACAAGTCTCACGAACTACCTCACTTGTCATTACACTCAGCCTTGAAGCCCTCCAGCAAGCACCAGCTTCTCTTCTCCTGGTTTCCAATTAAGTTAGAAAGCAGATTGTGCTCTCATCTAAAAGCATAACTCTGGCTGGATTCCTACCGTTCTATAAAAATACACGTTAGCCATTACTCACCCTTCTGTGATAAGCTCTTCTGCATTTCTTGTCCACCTGATGGATGGAGTTGGAAATCCTACGGCAACACAGGGGAAAACGGCGCTTTGCCCGGTCACCTTCGTAAGCGAGGAGGGCTGTCTCACAAACTGCAGCCTCTGGGCCACCTCTGGGTCTGCAAACATTTCATAAATGACAAAGCTGTTACCAGACGCAAAATTGGAAGATGATAATATTAAAAAGAACAAATGAAACATCTAATTTCTTTCCTGCATCTTCACAACTTAGCTGCTTAACTGGTTTTCCCCTAAGAGACTCTCCCAGCCTCCCACGTGAGCAGCTCTCTACGGATTCCTCCAGACACACACACTGATTTGCCACTGCTGGGATTCTGACTCCTCAAACTCCCGAGGAAACAGTTTCAGCTAAAAGCTACAGCCCTGAAACTGCAACTCCCACCAGCTCATCAATATAAAGGCAAAAACAGGGGCTATCAGAATGAAGAACTGCCCACTGTAAGAGAAGATCAGGTTCAAGATCATCTAAGGAACCTGAAGATACGTAAGTCTATGGGACCTGAGAGAATCCATCTGGAGGTTCAGAGGGAACTGGCAGATGAGGTTGCTCAGCAGCTTTCCATTATATTTGAAGACTCATGGCAGACTGGTGAAGTTCCCACTGACTGGAAAAGGGGAAACATAACTCCCATTTTCAAAATGGGAAAAAAGGAAGACCCGAGGAACTACAGGCCGGTCAGTCTCACCTCTGTGCCCAGCAAGATCATGGAGCAGATCCTCCTGGAACCTCTGCTAAGGCACATGGATAAGAAGGCGGCGACTGGTGACAAGCCAACATGGCTACACCAAGGGCAAATCATACCTGACAAATCTGTAATAAGGAGGCAAGTGGTGACAGCCAACATGGCTTCGCCAAGGGCAAATCACGCCTGACAAATCTGGTGGCTACCTAGGATATTGCCACGGCCTTGGTAGATAAGGGCAGAGCAACAGACAGCTACCTACAATATTGCCACAGCCTTGGTAGATAAGGGCAGAGCAACAGACATCATCTACACGGACTTATGAAAAGCGTTTGACACTGTCCCACATGACATCTTGGTCTCTAAATTGTAAAGTCATGGATTTGATGGATGGACCACTCAGTGGATCAGGAACTGGCTGGATGGCCCCACTCAAAGGGTTGCAGGCAACAGCTCAATGTCCAAGCGGAAGGCAGTGATGAGTGGTGTTCCTCAGGGGTCGGTGATTCTGCGCTCGTGAGACCCCACCTGGAGCACTGTGTCCAGCTTTGGAGTCCTCAGCACAGGGAGAACATGGACTTGTTGGAATGGGCCCAGTAGAGAGCCACGAAAATGATCAGAGGGTTGGAGCACCTCTCCTATGTGGACAGGCTGAGGGAGTTGGGATTGTTCAGCCTGGAGAAGAAAAGGCTCCAGGGAGACCTTATAGCGGCCTTTCAATATCTGAAGGGGGCTACAGGGAGATGTGGAGGACTCTTGATCAGGGAAGGGAGCCATAGGACAAGGGGGAATGGTTTTAAACTGAAAGAGGGGAGATATAGAAGAGATCTCAAGAAGAAATTCTTTGCTGTGAGGGTGGTGAGAGCCTGGCCCAGGTTGCCCAGAGAAGCTGTGGCTGCCTCATCCCTGGAGGGGTTCAAGGCCAAGTTGGACAGGGCTTGGAGCAACCAGGTCTGGTGGGAGGTGTCCCTGCCCAGGGCAGGAGGTTGGAACTTGATGATCTTTAGTGTCCCTTCCAAATCTAACCATTCTATGATTCTGTGTTATTTAGTAAAGAAAGGTATAGGTTTGTCTTTGTCCAGCCAAGCCCTGGAATCACCAGGCTCCATCAGGCAGCTGCCTGAGAAAGTGCTTTTATGCACTAGAAGATGAAATTACTGCAGTAGAGTCAACACTAAGCAAAATAAAATAACTACATAATTTGCATGCTGAAGTAATACAAGATTTATACTAAAACAAAAATTCACCATGGTTTTCCGTCCTTATGGAAATGGTGAATCCTCTGAATTAGTTTTTATTTTGCTTTGAATTGAGCTGAAGAGGGGTCTGATTCTTCTTTTTCCTCCCTTAAGAAGCACGAGCCTATTTACTCAATCTTTTACTACAGGAAACGCAATGTTGCCTGTGAGAATTGAAAACATACCCACAAATAAAGGCTGCCCAGCAATCTACTCTGAACTACCACAAATAAATATTCAGAACAAAAGGCTATTTTTCACTAAAAATATCCATGACTCCTCAAAATGTAAGATTAGGAAAAAGGTTCCAATATCAATTTTAACTAGAACTGTAACCAATTCATCAAGGGGCCCCAGTAAAACCCAGGCAAAAGATGCAGTTTGGAGCCGTTGTCTCTGCAGTAACTTCAGCATGTTCCTCACACTGTAATTAGAATAAATGAGTTCCTACATCCCAGCCCCAGCATTTCTACTTTGTTCATTACCATAACTCTTTCTGCCAAGTGCACAAAAACCCCAGTGTTTATGCTGCAAAATTTGCTCTATTCTCAATACTCAGATGGAATCATAGAATCATTTAGGTTGGAAAAGATCCTTAGGATCGCCGAGTCCAACTGTTAACCCAGCACTGCCAACTCCACCACTAACCCATGGCCCTCAGCACCACGTCTGCCCAGCTTTTAAGTACTCCCAGGGATGGTGACTCCACCACCTCCCTGGGCAGCCTCTTCCAGTGTTTGACAACCTTTTCAGTGAAGAAATTTTTCCTAATATCCAATCTAAATCTCCCCTGGAGCAATTTGAGACTGTTTCCTCTGGTCCCACACGTGCACTTACAAGTTGGATGAGAAGCAAGCTCCAGAATGGGACAAGCTGGTTTTGGCCCCCCTAGATGGTGTCAGGCTATTCTGTACCTACGCTACTTTTGCCCAGTGAAGCCCACTCTGTGCCTCTCACACACAGTGTTCACCCCCTGTCTCACACCTGGGACCTACACAACGCTCACAGCAGCTTCTAAGAATTGTTTGGTTTGGTTTCTTCAGCTCAAAGCGCTAAAAATAACAACCAAGCACTTACAGCGCTACGCTAAGGGCATGCACGTGCTCCAAGGTATAACATGATGAGGTTGTCAGGGTATTCGTGAGAAATCACGTTTCAGAATTGTCCCAGGCAGAGGGAGCCAAACTCAGAGCGATCCTAGAGCACACCATCTGTCTCCATCACAGCGGCTCTGCCCACGTTCCCCGTTAGAGGGAAGGAGTCTGCCTGCTCCAGAAATCAGACGGCGGGTGAAGAGGCGGGTAACGCAGTGAGAGTGACCTGGAGGGGCACGTGGAGCCAGCCAAACTGCAGAAAACAGCTATAACAGATTGCCAGCAATCACTGCACTGGGGAGAGGAGTCAGCACAACTCACTGGGGACATAACTCATTAGTGCTCCAAGCTCCCAAAAAGGAGATCAGTTCTCAGGTCAGTGGAAACTGCACTCAAAAATTAAGTGATTTTATTTTTTCCCCCTTGCATTCCTGTATTTGAAAGCAGAGCTCGGAAAGGCATCTTCCTGCTCGGTGGCAGAGGAAAGGCAGCCTGACTGCTCTAAGGAAGCCCACCGCCAGAAAAAGTAGGACAGTCTGTGGATGCAAATCTGTGCAATACCAGCGTGTGTTGGGGGTATCTCAAAGATTTAGAAGCAAAGCAGTTGGGGTTGCTGTCAGGCACGCATCAGAATGCAATTTTAAAATGCAGCAAAACAAATTAAGAACAGATTAATTCAAATCCTCCTTTCAAATACGTCTCAGACCAAACAATCAATTATGGGGCCACTCAAGATTAAGAGAGCTTTCTGTGCAACAGTTTAATCCCGCTTTCAGACTCCTGATCAAGCAAGGAAACAGCATTATTTGTATTCCCTAATAGTGTTATATTTAATCACCTGCAGCAAAACATTACAACAGCAAGTAAACCACATCTGGAGCCAAAGAATTAGAAAGATCAACACAATATGGGAGTTTATTGGGAAATCTTAAATTGCCAAAAGTCAGAAAAAGTCTTAAGATTTCATTTGAGGGGTTGTGGAAACATGAAGGCAAAACAAACTAAAATAGTTCAATTAAGTGCCTTTTCCAGAAGCGCTCTTCTTCCAAAACTATAGCCTTAGTTGAAGAAAAGATGAGTATTTCTGAAAAGAAAGGTTCACAAACTCAATGAAACAACTTCCTGCTTGAAGCATGATTAGTTTCCAAAGCCAAGCAAACGCCTCCATTTTAAAAGAGGGAAGGTTGCAATTGTAAAACTGGGATATTTTAAACAGAAAAGTGACGTAGTCACGAGGAACAGAAGCATTCATGGCCAAGGACCTCTGCCTAGTGCAACCACCTGCATGAAGTCCATGAGGTCAGGCCAACCATGCCATTGCCCAGTGTAGCCCCAAAAACCTCCCAAGATGGACATGCATCAGCCTCTGGCACCTCTCCCAGCAGTAAAAATTGAATTGGAATTCTAACACGAAGACTAATTCAGAGGAGACAGCATAAAGTTCTGGAAATAATTAAGAGAGCCCATACAAAACACAGCCCATGCTTCCCTAGTTTGGGAAAGTGGGATTCATGATCCTCCCTTATTTTTGGTCAATTTTCAAAACTCCGTATTAGAGCATCTGGTGAGACAGCTCTGTGCAGTACTGTCATTCAAAACAGAACACACTCTATGAAGAAATAAGGATGGACTTTTGTTCTTATAAAAAAATATCTACACACTTCTGCATAATAGGCACAGCTAAAACCTTCAAAATAAAGAGCCATGCCACCTTTTGGGGGTCTGGAGACTTGCCAAAAGACATCAGAACTTCCTAAATATTGGGACAATTAAAAGTGCCTGAGCTTAAACATCTTAAGAGTGAGGAACTAAGCACCGATTTATTTTGGAAACTTCAACAGGATTTTAAACATGGGATTCAAGCCTGTGAAACTTAAAAGTCCCCAAACATTTATAGTCAAAGAAACAGTCAATTCCCTCTTTGTAACTCATCATGGCGTAAGTGTATTAGTAGTGACTTTTAAAAAGAAGTCTTTCCCAAAAAGCCCTTAAAAGCCAAATGATTACATATGGCAAAAAAAGCACGTGCATGTCTCCAGCCCACCTCCAATCACTGCAGAGCTCAGACACTGATAACTCATTT